ATATATATATGTTTACGTTGATTACATTTCTATTGTTCCAATGTACAGCTACATATCTGGAATACACATTTCTAATTATATTTTCATGTATAACTACATATCTGGAATACACATTTCTGGTTATATTTTCATGTATAACTACCTATCTGGAATACACATTTTCTAGTGTACACCTGATCGTTATATTGTCATTTACAGATGGTAACTCCAAGTACAGAAACACATTATATCGTATAGCATGTATAACTATATATATGGAATTTTCATCCGCACTCATTTTCCTGTATACAGCTATATATCTGGACTTTAACTACGCACGTACCAATTCATACCTTCATCTTGTATTTCTATGCACACAGGCGTGGATTCAGAATGCCACAGTGCGCGACAACATCCTCTTTGGACAGTCCTTTGACCGAACCAAATACGACAACATCGTCTCCGCATGCGCCTTGAGGGACGATTTCGATGTATGTAATAATAGAGATGAGATGTCTATGTAAATAGCTCAAGTTACGTCAGATATGGTCTCCGAGCTCTAGTCCGTGTATTGTACGTGTGTATCTTCAAGACAGGCCGCCCTATTGCGTTTAGACATAGCCATGGACACGCTGGTTTGGGGTTGGATAAAGAGTTTGAGTGTATGAGTCATTTACGCATACCACACTGTAATGAACATTCTCTATTCGTAGACTACAGACGCACCATAGAGCAGCAGATGGCTATATCCGCAAGTCAAAATGTAGGAATTCACATATATGTTTCTATTTATATATCACTTGGCTATATCCACCTATCAATGTAGGTATTCACATATATGCGTCTATTTATATATCAGATGGCTATACCCACATATAAAAATGTTTTTATTCACATACACACACACACACACGCACACGCATATATATATTTATATCTACGTACACAACAAATAGATGCTGGACGATGGCGATCAGACCGAAATCGGTGAGAAGGGAATCAATCTGTCCGGTGGCCAGAAACAACGAATCAGTCTTGCACGCGCACTGTACCAGGAAGCAGACATTTACATCTTTGACGATCCACTGTCAGCTGTCGATGCACACGTGGGTCGACATATCTTCGACAAGGCTCTGGGCCCTAACTCGCTGCTCAAGTATGTGCCCGAATATGTAGTTTGTGACGTATGCGTGCGTGTATGTAGTTTGTGATGTATGCGTGCGTGTATATAGTTTGTGATGTATGCCTGCGTGTATGTGATGTGACGTATGTTTGCGTGTACGTGACATGTGTTATACTGTACAAACACCCAACATCCTTCATATGGCGGATGTGAGACCAACTCGCATAAACAAAACACATACCCCTCATACAGAAACATACTGTCCCTCCATGTCGACACAGAACACATCTCACCTAGACGAACACGCGTACCTTTCCAGGGATACCACCCGTTTCCTGGTGACACATAAAATCGAGATCCTACCAGAAAGCTCCAGAATCATCGTGCTCAAACACGGTCAGATCGACGAGATTGGGCACTACAACGCTTTGTTGAACGCCGGAGGGGAGTTCGGGCTATTCCTGGAGGAGTTCCGAAACAAGCAGAACGAACAAGTGGACGATGTGTACAGCGACGGCGAATTGGATGGTACGTTTAACTGGCTGCAGAAGCAGTCAAGTGCAAATGGTGTATGGGTTGGACGGTACATTTAATTGGCTGCAGAAGCAGTCCAGTGCACGTGGTGTATGGGTTGGACGGTACGTTTAACTGGCTGCAGAAGCAGTCAAGTGCACGTGGTGTATGGGTTGGATGGTACGTTTAACTGGCTGCAGAAGCAGTCAAGTGCACGTGTTGTATGGGTTTAAAGGTACGTTTAACTGGCTGTAGAAGCAGTCAAGTGCACGTGGTGTATGGGTTGGACGGTACGTTTAACTGGCTGCAGAAGCAGTCAAGTGCACGTGGGGTATGGTGTTGGTCGTGTGTGTTGTGCATATATGTGAGGCGTATTGGATGGTACGTTTAACTGGCTGCAGAAGCAGTCAAGTGGACGTGGGGTATGGTGTAGGTCGTGTGCGTGTGCATATATGTGAGGCGTGTTGTTTGTATAGACGGTGAATTGGATGGTACGTTTAACTGGCTGCAGAAGCAGCCAAGTGAACGTGGTGGTATGGTGTTGGTCGTGTGCGTTGTGCATATATGTGAGGCGTGTTGTTTGTATAGGTAGCATGCTGAGGAGTCTGGGTTGTGTTTGGTGAAGGCAAAAATGTAGAGAATCACGGCGCCAAATAGTAGGGCGTGATCTGTGAGATTTTATTGAAATACAGACCTTTGGCGAAAATGCGCACACCCACGTACCCTTTTGGATCGATCTCTTGTGGTTTTGTTTGCATGGTCAATCAAAGGTCTCAGGCAAGTGCCATGAGCACGTGATGGCTTCAGGGCTCCAGTGCCAGGAGTTTTCACCGAGTATTGCTGATATTTGTTATATATATAGTGTTCTGCATACTACGTGTTGGC